AAAACTTTCATGGTCCAATTAGCATGCTGTGCTGACCAACTCTTATAGTAAGAGTAAGCTATGTTTTTTTTAACTACACTGTTGTAAATGTTAGTCAAGATTTCTCTTTATTATGTTAATTATGCCCATGCTACATCGCCAATATTTTCTCCCAGTGTGACATTAATATTCTTTGTCAAAAGTCTTTTGCCATATGGAACTTTTAAATTTTATATAACGAAATCTGTCTTTTTCTTTGTGACTGAAGTTCCCTGACCTACTTAGGAAGGCCCCTCCCACCCAAAGATTATTTTTTTTAGGACTTAAGATTTAAAAATCTTTACTCCTTTTATAGTTTCATTGTGAAGGAACATGATATATTTCTCAAGCTCTTTGGTTTTCCTTGATTTAGGTGGATTAAAAAGTTTCCTTGGCCAGCAATTTCTTTAAAATGAAGAGGAGTAGGCTTTTGTTCCTGGAAAAGCCTGACCCACTTCTTTTTTTCTATTCTTTTTTTGAAAGTGCTTACTTTGTTTACAGTGTATATGTTTATAAGAAAGTTTAATATTTTAGCACAGTCTCTAAATAGAAATTCTAATAAATCCTAAGAGCTGCAATACACTGAGGACACAATTTGATCCCTAAAGCCCTCTCCAATCTCCTGCTCAGTGAAAACAACAAACAAAAGGCCTCAGTGTTAGAAAACCAAGTTCTTCGAAGCAGGTAAAAGTCCTGTTTACTCCTTCCAGAAAGCAGAAGAGACAGGGTTTTCGGTGTATAAACGCGAGTTACCTTTGTGTAGCTCAGAACAATTGGGATAAAGGCTCTACTTCTTAAAGGCCTAAGTTATGAAGACTGTGGGACAACAGGACTGAAAATGAACAAAAAGAAAAGCTTTAGCTTTGACGCAGGAGAATTACATCAGGCCTTGACAAACCGAAGGTTCTTAATTTTCAAAATGCTTCTTTTAGGAGCCTTTCATTATCTGTGAGAACACATCAAGTGAACAGCACTACAAAGGATGCATGTGATTTGGAAATGCCACAATTGAGCCAACTGCATCTGCCAGCGTATGTAGCATTGGAGACGTCACAAAAAAAAAAAAAAAGAGGGGGGGAGCCTATGGCCAAAATAGGGCTTTATCTGCATCACAAGATACTCTTTCCCTGACTAGTATAAATTCGTGAAGATAATTTTCTCTCCTCTTGAAAGTGCCCCCGGATACAAGTATTCACCTAGTCCAAGCCTAGGGCCGTGGCATTGAAGGTGTTGAGTCACCGGGTAGAGCGGTCATGCGACATTATTATTTGATGACGTTGATCGTAGGGGCTCAGGTGCCAAGGTAAACCGCTGGCAGAGATGACTGTGGTTATGACTTAAGGTAGAAGCAAGCAGAGCCGGGACTGAGGCACGGTTCCAGTCCTCGAGGGGTGGCATTTTAAGTTGGAGGCAAACTTCAAGCCTCCCACGTAACGTGTTTTAAGGAGAAGAACCAGGGTTTGTGGCGCGATCCCTCCCAGTCGATGGATCGGAGTCCTTTCTGGTTCCCATCCCTTCCCCGCCCGAGACTGTGTCCTCCCGAATCCCTCCTAAGCCCCTTCCCTCCCCCGCCTAGGAGCACGTCGCCATTCATCAACCGGTTCACACCGGCAGCGGCCGCCGCGCCGTGACGTCCGCGAGGGGCGGACTTCCGCCCCCGCTCCTCGGCGCTCCGCCCGGGGCCCCCGGCCGCGATTGGTAGCCAGGGGTTCGCACGTCCCGCCGGCTATAAAAGGGAGGGTTTGTGACGCAAGGGCGCCTCGGCGCGCGCATTGGCTCTGTTGACTGCGGGCCGACTCGGTACGCGCTCTCCTCGGAGCCGCTCACTGCATGGTCGAGTCTGGTGCCCCCGCCGCCGCCTGCAAAGCCGCCGCCGCCCCGCCACGACCATCTCCACCCCTTGCCCTGCAGCCGCCGCCACCGCCTGTGTCGCCGCCGCCTCGGGACCGGCTGTATGATTAGGCCACAATCTTCAATGAGTAAACATATTCCTGTGAGTATCCGTCGTACCGCCGCCTCTCGAGCCGGGGCTCCTCGACCGGCCTCCCCATGCCCGCTGTCGCCTTTGTTCGGAGCCCGGCGCTCCCCGCCGCCCCGGCCTAGTTTTGGTGGGTCCTAGACAAGACGGGACCGGGCTACGGTCCTGCGACCGGCCGGTGGCGGCTGACTGTGGGGAGGCGGAGGACGGGAACCGCGGGGTAGCAGTTGGCTGCGGGAGGCCCCGGCTTCCCAGTCCCGGTCGAGCCCGGGGCAGCGGGGGCGGTGCGGCCGGGCCTGCGCGGCGGGCGGGGGCGGTTTCGGCCACCGCAGCGGGCCGGGCGGGGCGGCACAAAAGCCGCTTTGTGACCGCCGCCTCCGCCCTTGGCCCTGCAGCCTGGCGCGCCTGGGCCGGGCCCGGCGGGCTCCGCGACATCCCGCGGCCCCTTTGTTTGGTCGACAGAGAGCGGCCGCCGGGGGAGCGGGAGACGTGGCCCGGGGTGGGGCAAGCGCTGCGCGTGTCACTGCGGAGCCGGATACGGGGAGGGCGCCCCGGCGGTGGGGTCGCCACGAGACCCGGCCCGGCGCGGGGTAGGCGGGGCTGCTCACGGCCTCGGCCCAGCGCTCTCGGAGCTCGGGGGCCGGCGCGGGACAGCCGCCTGGTGCTGCCACCTTTGTGCTCCGTGGCCGGGACCGGCGTCTCAGACAAAATGGCCTCGGCGTCCGCGCCTGACTGAAGGCGCGGTGCGAACCCGTGATTGCGGCGCGGAGAGGGGGTGCCGCGGGCGGACCCCGTGTGCTCCGTGGGCGCCGAGCGGCGGGGCCGTCGAGGGGCTGTTCACGAGCTGCAGCCGTCCGGGGGCCGGAGCGGAACTGCTGGGTGAGCTCGCTGACTCGCTGCCCCGCCCTGCTCCCTTAGTCTCCACCTGGTAGTTCGTGCTGTTCCGGATTGAACGCCCCACTTTGGGCTCTGGATAATGGGAACAAGACGAGTCTTGTCCCTTCCCTGGGGCAAGGCGGTCGAGAAATGGTCTTGGGAACTCCTAGGGCTACTGTTGCACCCCAACGAAGGAGTCCTCCGTCGGCCGGCACCAGCACGCACTTTCCCTCCCAATCTTGGAATGGCCCTGGATGGCGCCTTATAATTGGGACTATTTAGAACTGTTCCTGAAACGTGTTGTTGCCTCTCTGTTGGCTTGTGGCAACGGTCGCCAACCAGAGCCAGAATTCTAAGGTTTATATTCTGTCCCCGTGGAAGCCTCGACCGTTCCAAAAGTATTAAGTTGTTATTTGCGATTTAGCTGGAACCGTCGACGTGCTTGGGATCCAGAGTCTGAGGCAATGTTTCCTGTTGCCCTTTTTATATGGATTTTGTTTGGTGGCAGTAATAAATCAATTGAAAACCTGAAAGCTAGATCCCTCCCAAGAGTAAGCAGCATTTTACACATGCTTTATTCTAGATGCATTACCTAAAATATAAGTAGATGTGGGACAAACTCTCTAAAGAACTGTTTTACAAAACAGTTTGTATAAATTAGTTGCCTTGAGTGGAATCTGACAAATTGTCTTAAGCTTCTGCACAGAAATTGCCCTCCCCCTCTCCCGCATTGTAATTATGTGCAACTTACGAATGGGAGGGGAACAATTCCTTCATATTTCCAAAGTTCCCATCATAGTTTTTCCTGTAGCAAGGAAATTTTAAGGGGGTTGTCTTGGGCAGAACAGAAAGATGATAGGTGTGTTACTGCTGTTTCGGTAGAAGTCCCTCACCCCCACCCCCTAGCCACTGGACGGCTCCACTCAGTAAAAATAACCAGTTCACTAAGTGAATTATTTCTATATTGCTTTCTCTGCTTCCTGATAAAACTACTTACATGAAAGGATATGGCCACAGTCAGCTGTAACAGGAATTTTAGCTGTTAAATACCGCAATAGTGGTGTGAAATAATGTCTCAGAAATTGTCTTACCATTGCAAAACTGGTAGTACCTGGAAATCAGAATACTGAGATAAGTTATTATTTTTAACAGCTTTACAAATGACTCCTTTAATTCAAGGTATAGCATCGAAAAGATGCAAGAATACACTTTGTATTCTAAGGAAGTAATATTTAGGGTTTGAGGTAAGATTACAATTTAAATTATTTCCAGGATACTGCATTCTCAATACACTGTAATAGAGTGAAGTCCTTAATGGTAATCTAGTCACTAATATTATATTTTAACCCAGCTAGCAAGTAGGTGAAGTAACAATTTCCCAGGGCTCGTTGGAACAAATTTGGAATAATGAAAGTGGTCTTACAGGAGGATTTTTTATTTTTTTTTTTGTAGAGGGCAGTGTCACTGGCCCTCACATGTGGGATCCGAACCGGGGCCCTCTGGCGTCCCAAGCCAGTTCCTAACCATCACCCCACTCGGCTGGCCCTACAGGAGGATTTTTAAGAAATGATTCCTGAGACTAGTTCCATTGTTTGGACCAAAAAAAAAAAAAAATGAACTGGGTTTTTGACTTACTGTTTTTTTTGTGATCTGCTAGATTGCCATGTGGATTATTCTTCAAATTTTAGGAAAGTTCTAGAAACCAACTAGCGTGGGACTATTTAAAGGTGTAAAATGAAAATAGGAACAGATAGTTTGAATTTAATTTTAAGCCTTTTAATGCTTAAATTTAAGAATAGAAAACTAATAGAAAGTTTCATAAAATTTTATTTGGTAATTTACACATGAGACTACATAAAGTGGCTGGCACTTGGTGTTCTTGTTAACCTGCTATTAATATTTCTTAGTCCTCTCTTTATTCCTAAGTACACAAGTTTCTTATGAACTACTTGGAAGAAGATTAACATCAATGCTTTTTGTGTATATATTCTGAAAATAACCAGTGAATATTCATATGTTTGATATAGACATAAAAGTGATTTAGTTCTTTAAGGAAACTTGGGGAAAATGTAAATATATATTGATTGATTGATTGATTGATTGATTGATTGATAGGTAGTTACCTTGCTTTTGAGATCTATGAAAGAAATGCAAGGTAATTTCTACCACGCAGCACCTCCCTTTGAATTAGATTCAGTTTTAGGCTGGATAAGTGAATTTTTGATTTTAAAATACAAGAGTATTGGAATTATGAATCTTTTATAGTTACAAATGGGACTTTTTTATATTTATAAGCATATATCTTTATACTTCACATAACAAGTTGATTAACTTAGAGACTTATATGAGAAAAAACTTAAAAGGGAATGATAAATTAATTGCTTGTTAAAGATCAAATAAGATAATGTGTATGAAATCATTTTGAAAACCAGTTGATTTTTTTTCTCAATATATTAGAGAAGTAAATTATGCAAAGACTAACAGCTTCAAAGTTTTCATAAAGCTTGTAATATGTAAAAATATTTTATTAGTTGGAAAAGTCAATATATTGGGTTGTCAGGAAAGTCATGACGCATTTTTGCATTGAAAAATGGAAAAATAAGACATGACTTTCCCGACAACCCAATAGAAAGTTGTACATATAGTTTATAACAATTATATAAAGCAAACAACCAGCTATTACAAGGAATGATTAATAGAAGACCACATATAAGGGATATTGACCAGATATATAACAGTGGTATTCTTTGAGGGATCTTTGTATTAGATAAGTAGTTTCAATTTAAAGTAATCTTATTTGTGAATGCTTGTTTTATGCTTATTGATTTAAGCTTGAATCATCCTTGAATTTTTGTGGTTCAAGTAAAAGTTGAAAGGTGGCTTGGGCCCAAATTTGAAAAGATAGTTGTGTAAATACCGTAGTAGCATAACGTGTTCCTTTTGAATCGGAAAACATTTTTTTTTTCCTCTCTTTTTTTAAACAGCAGTTCTGTGGTGTTCTTGGTCACACATTTATGGAGTTTCTGAAGGGCAGTGGAGATTACTGCCAGGCACAGCACGACCTCTATGCAGACAAGTGAACTGTAGAAATTCATTACTACTCCACCAAGAAGCCCCCATAAGAGTGGTTAACCTGGACACTGAAGTGTTGAATTGAAAACTGCAGAGCATTTTACAAGAGTTCTGACCTGGATGGGGTAAACCTCAGTGCACTTCCTTTCTATTGCCTCAGTATTACTGGATTGAAGAATTGCTGCTTCTTATTAGGAGGTTCATTTCATTTCCCATTACTCCCAACTTCATACTCAAAGCACTGAGAATTTCAAGTGGAGTATATTGAAGTAGACTAAGTTTCTTTGCATCATTTCTGTATTCAATTTTTAAATTCTTTCATAACCCTATTGAGTGTTTTTAAACTAAATTAACATGGCTCGAATGAACCGCCCAGCTCCTGTGGAAGTCACATACAAGAACATGAGATTTCTTATTACACACAATCCAACTAATGCGACCTTAAACAAATTTATAGAGGTAAGGTTTGAAACTTTTTTTACTGTCTTAACCTGACCAGTTTAATGATGGGGCTTTTTGTCTTAACAAAATATTTTGGAAAATCCTGAGGTGGTTTGCCTACAGTTTCAATTCCCAGAAACCAAATATCAGTGTCTTTAGGTTAAAGGTAATTTATTTTATACATTTCAAGAAGCACATGTACTTGAGTTAGTTTGGATTTATAAGCTAATAGCGAGTTCTTCATGCCTCAAAGTTTGCTTAATTTATATGTGGACAGTATAACAGTATTGTTTTTGCTTATATGAAATTTATAGGACAAAGGCTGCCACTTATGGATTATTCATATATAATTTTAGCCTAATATATACCAAAGTTAGTTTATGTCGCACCCCATTTGATTGGTAGAATCCAATTCTCAGTTACTAATTCTCCTTCCTGGTGGTTGCTAGATACCCAGAACTATCTCACTGCCTACCTCTTGTGATTATAAGGAAGGAATATGATGCTGAATAATTTATTTGGACACATACACATTTTATTTTATAAGTGCAGATGTTCAGAAACAACAAATAGGCCTTGCAGAGCATAGAAACACTTTGACAATCTGTGTACTTTTGATATGCCAGAAGAGTTGAGATTTTAGTAATAATGTATTATGAATCTTGAAGCCTGTAGTTTTTAAGTGGTGTGAGTTTTTTTATGCTCTATTTTTGGAATTTTAAGAGGCTACTTTTAAGTCTCTTAATTACACTATGTACTGCAAATGAGTGAAAATTTAAGAAGTTGATATAAGCAATAAAGTCAGATTACTTAGTCATGAATTATTTCTTTGATTCTGTTTACCTTTATCTTTGAATTGTGTCTGATCCCCTTTTGTTAGTGCTTCATTTCCAACTAGCCAGTGTGACCATGACTATAAACATCAGTATATGAAGAGTTGTGGAATTTTTTTTAAAACTTCTAATTTATTAAAATGTAATGTTTAACATTCCCTTTTATGCTATTCTAGTATTTATTTAAAACGTGATTTCACTTCGCTGTTAAATATACATAGGTTATACCAGGGGTCGGCAAACCCAAGAGCCAATCCTGTCCCTCACAACAATTTAAAAATTATTTGAAAGTCATAAAACAAATGAAATTACCATTATGTGAATAATATCCTTTAAAAATTTTATGAATGAAACTATGATATGATAGTTTTATTTTCATTTTCAATTTTACTTAAAAGCCACATGTACGTACCCAAAGATCCACATGTGGCTTGCAAGCCGCAGTTTGCCGACCCCTGGGTTATACCATTCATTCCATAATTTTTTGTTAACCAGCAATACCTGCTGGAGAAATTATCAAAATGACATGGTGGCAATAGTGACAATGGTATAAAGGCTTTATTGAATATTTTTTAATGTATGTTTTATCCAGGAACTTAAGAAGTATGAAGTTACCACAATAGTAAGAGTATGTGAAGCAACTTATGACACTACTCTTGTGGAGAAAGAAGGCATCCATGTTCTTGTAAGTATTTAATAGTTCTATGAGCTTACGATACTGTGCTACAAAAGTTCATTCAAATAAACAATCAATTTCAAAAAGCTTAAATTTATAATTTGTAAACATGCAGTATCTTAATTTCAAAATAAGCAAAAGTTTGAAAGCTAAGCAAAAATTTGAACTGACAAGGTCTTTGTAAAGATTCAGTATTTTTTTTGCATTTTATTAACATCTTTAAACATGTTAAAATGCATTTGATAACATTTGGGTGTTAGAAATTTAGAATTATTAGTGTGGTATTTATAAAATACAAAATGTTTAAATATTCTTTTGACTTAGGATTGGCCTTTTGATGATGGTGCACCACCATCCAGTCAGATTGTTGATGACTGGTTAAGTCTTGTAAAAATTAAGTTTCGTGAAGAACCTGGGTGTTGTATTGCTGTTCATTGTGTTGCAGGCCTTGGAAGGTAAGAGAATTTCTTAAATCTGTTTAATGGTATTGGTCTTAATTCTAGTAAAAACTTGATTTTGACTTCAGTGAAGACTCAGTTATCTCTTCATGAATCAGTTTGCTTTGTTAGGTTACATAATGAACTAAATTTGAAAGTAGGTGATTATAACAGAATAACGTATTTCCAGTATAGCTGGAACTAACATGCTATAGCTACAATTTACACTTGTCTCTGTGGACAAAATTTCTTGTAGAATTAATTGTGTGTGCTAGGTTATATTCATGGTATTGGAATCATTATCCAAGCTTATTGGAGAAAAGGATTATGAATTGTCTCTTAAGGTAGTATGCATTGCATACTTTTGAAAGGGTCATTGATTCTGGAGGTTCTGATTTGAGTAGGAACTCATTACCCAGTAGTGCCAAAATGTGCATGTCCAGATTTGTAAATCACTACCACCACCCTCCGCCTTCCATCAAAAAAAGCTCCTGTTCTAGTGAAGAGTAAAATGAGAATCAATGGCCCTGGGGGAATTGGCATACAACTGTGTGAAAATCCCATTGATAATAAAATAAAGCAAATTCCAGAAGGTCTTCAGGGGGAAAGTTCATAATATTTAAAAACAAGTATTTTGCTTGGCATTCAGGAAAAAGTTTTTGCATTTATCAAGATATACCCTATCCCCTAAATATTTTCAAGATTGCCTTTCAATAATACAAGTTTTAACTTCTAACTTGTAATAGTTAAGGGCATAGTACATTTTTGGTTCTAGAAAAAAACCTGAGTTTGATATGAAAATACTGGTACCTTATTTTTTTTAATGTAAAGTCAACATTTACTATACATATTACATAGGAAGTATAGTAAATAATAGTACTTCTGTATTGGGGACTGTTTGGACTGGACTGTTGAATTTTCCAGGATTTGATTTTGGGAAAAAAAATGATTTATCTAAATTCTTACCTTAACAGAGCTCCGGTGCTTGTTGCTCTAGCATTAATTGAAGGTGGAATGAAATACGAAGATGCAGTACAGTTCATAAGACAGTAAGTATATAATGAATTTTTTCATTTCCTCACTGAATGTCAGTGAGTTTAATTATATTGCTATGAAAACAATTTTTTTCCCAACAGCCAATCTGATCATTTTTAGGATAGTATTAAAACCGGGAAGTAAAGATCTCACCTCCTTTTTTTGCATTCCATGTAGATGTTCATATTAGATTCTAGTCCAATAATGTTTTGAATTGTTTTACTTTAACTTCTTGATTGAATGTTTTGCTTATTTGCATTTTTATTGAGGTAAAGTTAATATACAGGAAAATGCACAGGTCTCAAATGTAGATGAGTTGACAATAACAGCCAAATAAAATAACCAACCCAGTACAATATAGAACATGATCACTCCTAAAAGTACCCTCATCGCCTTTGTAGTCATCTTCCCTGTCACCAGTGGCAATCTTTCTGACCTCTAATTACTGTACATTAGTTTTGTCTTTTTTTGCACTAAAAATAGACTCAAATTTTAACTATTGTAACTACTCAAAAGATTTGAAAAATTAACTTTAGTACCCTTTTTCCATTTACACTTGTATGCATATCCATATTTCTGCATTAAATCACAGTAATAAGAAATTGGTAGAAGAGATAATTCCCTATAACACAGTAAACTTTATTGTAAAGGAATGTTGCATTAATTACTTCCCATCTTTTGGGTTTTCCTTCCAGAAAGCGGCGTGGAGCTTTTAACAGCAAGCAGCTTTTGTATTTGGAGAAGTATCGTCCTAAAATGCGGCTGCGCTTCAAAGACTCCAATGGTCATA